CAAAACGAGCTGACGGGCTACGCTAAACAATGATCCATGCCCGCGGCTGCGCAACGAGGATCCCAAGTCCTCCCTCCCAACCGGTGCAGGTGAGCCCTCTTCATGCCGAACGGGAGCGGGCGGAGCGGATGCTGGGAATCCAGGGATAGAATGACGCGAAAGAGGCGACAGGGACGAGGGTCCGGAATGCGTAGCAGGAATACTCGTCTGCTCTCGCGTGGTCGTGGGAGCAGGCGTCTGCTCCTGCGCAGTCGACGAAACAGTCGTCCGCTCCCGCACTGTCGTGGCAGGACCCGGCTCCTCACTCGCAGTCATGGGAGCAGGCGTCTCCTCCCGCAAGGTCGTGCAAGGACGCATATCCTCCCGCGCGGCAGTGGGTGATCTCTCCTCCGTGCCCCCGAAAGATCCCCAAAACTCCTCGCCCCCCATCATATTCATATCTCGCTGGTCTGCCGCCCTCCGCGCGGTGTGCGTCCTCTCGTCACGCACGTCGCCCCCCTCGTGCAACTCATCAATCTCACTCGGGATGGGAAACATCGGGTCGTCCGCTGCTTCCGACTCCCTCTCGTCCGCAGAGTCATCGTCCCTGGGCTATGGGCGGAAGATAGTCGCACGAGCACCGAAAACAGACTGAACAGGGGGCGGCGCAGAAGACCCAATGGGATCGCGCGCAATGAGGTCAGCCTGCTCCTCGATCTCTTTCTCAGTCATCCCACTCCTCGTCCCCGAGCGCACAGGCTCCACGTCCAATCCCGCCTGAGCGTCAAGCATGCCCTCGTCTCGCTGCCAAGGGAGGACGTATTTACAACCTGCACGTCTATACTCCATCAACCGCACATTTGCGGTGATCTCAACAAGATGAACAACCTTCTAGAAGGCCAACTAATTACGCTTCTCCGTATGGATGCCCTCGTGGACCGCCCAGCTCCTCTCCGCTGGAGAGGCGCAGGACCACATGTGCATCAAACGAAGAGCGCACTGCTGTAAATCGGGCGCCTCCCCCCCGTACTGAGACCACCACGAGGCACACTCCAACGTCTCGCAGTCTCCACTGCAACTACGCGCTCGAGGGTGGCCCTCTGCCGCGCCCCAAGACCCATACCTACCCTGCTGCATGTGAAAGTCCTCGAACTGCCGACATACCTCAAGGTAACGACCACCCGACTCATCGTGGCCCGTATGAGACAACAGATACCTCTTGGTTTGTGGAACAAGCCAAGTGTGGTACCGGTCGAGCTGCGCGGAGAAGTACTGAACATTCCGGCGACGGGGGTTCAGTAAGAACGCGGCGCAGTGTGCGGGCTCCAGCATGTGCTGTATACGGGCCTGCACACGCCTCATGATACGGTCAGAAAAGGACTAGCCAAGAGGAATGCAAGCGTCCCGCACAAGGCGTGCAAGATCCCGAGTCCACTCTACAACGAGGGACATGAATTGTCCGCCACGGTCCATCCGCCTCAGCAAGTCCATGACAGGATCCATGACGTGCTTGATGGCACGCATCCTCTCCCACCAAGGGGACCACCTGATCTGTCGGCGCACCCAACGCGCCATGTCGCAAACGTCGGGGGACCACGGGATCCTAGCCCATGCCCGACCGTCCTCCGCTGTCATCATGCCCTGCAAACGATCCTGCAGAGCGAGCAACCTCTCCAACATGGAGTATACGGACGCAAAGCGAGTCTCGCATGAAAGCACGAGGCCCAACGCCGCGCTCCGCTTCCGAAAGAAGCTGAGAGTGGCCTGGTGGGTTTTGAAAAACACCACCAGAACTCGGGCACTCGTGATCGTGTCCACGAAAGAGGTGCAAATAGTCCCAATGTCTGACAACAACTTGTTGCAGACATGGACGCAACACGGGAGCCAAGTGATCCTCCTCAGCTCAGGGGGCATAGATGGCGAGGCCAAAGCCGTCGCAGCCCCCATGTATGCAGAGGCGGACTCAGTGCATATAGCATTGACCCGCTGTGGGCCACCGAATCTGAAATCATGAAAGATGGCGACCCATCTCTGCAGGACGTGCACCGCATCGTCTGGCTCGCCCTCTCGGTTGATCGTCGTGTACATGACGACCCCTCGAGACCCACCTGCGAGAAAGTTCACGATCGGTCGCCCATCTCGTGACTTCCTCCCGTCAGAGAGGAGGGTGGCGCCACTCACCCATAATGGCTGCCTAACCTCCTCCAACTCCTCCGCCAACTGCGCGCGGTGGATCTCCACAATTCGCATGTCTGCGATCTCGCTGTGGGATGGAAGCATGGGAGAGGTGCTCCACCAGGTTGCCGAAGAGCAACCTGCTGGAGGTCCCAGTACGGCGTGTTGCGCAAGGCATTGAAGGCAATCCCACAGGAATACACCCAGCGAAAGAATGCCTTCCTCCACTCACCAATCCACTCACCACCATACGTGTCCGTCATTTTCTGTTGCTGCAGCCTCTTCCCTGCACTGGTGCCATAAAGTTGTGCACCCCCCTCCTTCCTCTTCGAAGAACCCGGCGTGCTTGCTCTATCAGGAACAGCACTCTTCGAAGAACTCGGCGTGCTTGTCGTCTCAGGCGGGACGGCCTTCTTCCCGCACCTCCGCTCCTAGTCCACCGCCCTCTGATGAGCCATCGGATCGGACTTCGGCACGCCCCCCTCTCCCCTCGGTGTCCGCTCCCCCTCGGCCACGCCAACCTCAAGGTCAACGTGTGCCTCGTCCTCCTCCGCGGCACCCGCACCCTCCCCATATCTCGTAACACCTCCCTCCTCATAACGCTCAGTATCCTCTCCCTCGCCCACGCCCTGTGCAGGACGCTCCGCCTCGCCACCCATCGCACCCGACCACGGGACATTGAGACCACGCTCGTGTGCGAACCGCCGCACCCTCTCTACCTGATCGGCCTCGAAGCGGTATGTGCATTTCTATGCAATCTGGTACAATGCATCATCGGACACCTTCTTGCAATAATTCTGCAAGGTGAAGTGTTTCGTTGTGTAGAATTGGGTTCCCTGAAACACCTTATTGCAGAAGGTGCACCGTAGCATATTAACCCCCCTGTTGTCGACCTTCTGGCCGACAACAACGTAACGGTACACAGCAGATTTGCGCATATAATCCTGCTGCACTTGTTCGGGCGCGGGCTCATGTTCGTGCGTCTGTTTTCGCGGCATTGTGAACCCCCCTCAAAGTCGCGCCCGTCCGGTCGTAAGCACCTCCCCTCCGACACCTCGTGCCCAGCGGCGCCACAGAGAAGGACGTATTCCCGGCATGCCCCGTCCCAACCAGGTAACACCCGCCTTGTTTCTCCCTGTTGAAACCCCGTTGAAAATTCCGGACCCCGTTGAAACCCCGTTGAAACCCCGTTGAAACCCCGTTTGCTCCCGTTGAAACCCCGTTGAAACCCCGTTTGCTCCCGTTGAAACCCCGTTTGCTCCTGTTGAAACCCCGTTTGCTCCCGTTGAACCCCCGTCCTTAGGCACTGGTCAACAGGATCCGCCGGCGACGCTGATTGGTTTGGGTGTGTGTGTGTGTGTGTGTGTGGAGAGAGAGAGAGAGAGAGAGAGAGAG